ATTTGTTATTTTGGCAGATGCTAACTATTAATTTGTTAAACAGTTCGAAGCGCTTTACTTAATAGAATTCGAAGCCGAGAGATTGTGACATCATAGTATGCATAGAAGATACGTAAAATACGTACTCCAAGTACCGCCCTACATCTAATCAGCACTTCTGTTTAAAAATAAAAATATTAACATATGTATACAAATATTCAAACATTAATAACGCGCTTTTTAAATACACCGCCATTACATCGGCTTCGGGCAACAGGTTTCGCACCACCTTATTTTTTTCTCGTAACGTTTTCTTTAATTTCGTGGTCACGTTGCGATGCGCCAACTTGGCAGTCAATAAGTTTTAATTAGCTTCTACTTCTGTCGAAACAAATCAGCGTTCGCATAGTTTAACCCAGCTATATATTACGGTGATTTAAGCCCTCGAATCGTAAAACAACCCCAAAAAGTTTGGTCATGCAAATATATCAGTCACATTCAAAATACATTCAAAATAAAACGAGCTTCTTGGAAATGTTCACAACAATAAAAGAACTATAGCGTACGCTAAAGAGGCTTAAGATTTCATACGAGTAGGAATGCGAAAGGCGTTCCTACACGCCGCGCATTCCTACAAGCAGCGCCCCAGGTCTTCCTTTTTTTCACACGGCGCCCCGGCGGTGACGTCATACTCCCCCACTGCGCAGGCGCGGCGAACCCCGCCAGCTCCACGGCTTCCCTTACGATGCATCTGCGTTGCTCTGCTTTTCTTTGTGTTTTATTTCTGAGACGCGTCCGGTTTGACATCGACCGCCCCACCGGCTTACGTGACGATGCATCCGCGTTGCTCTGCTTTTCTTTGTGTTTTATTTCTGAGACGCGTCTGGTTTGACCTCGATCGCCCCACCGGCTTACGTGACGATGCATCTGCGTTGCTCTGCTCCTCTTTGTGTTTTATTTGTGAGACGCGTCCGCTCTGATTCTGAGCGCCCCGCCGGCTTCCGTGACGATGCATTGGCGTTGCTGTGCTTTGGGCCGATGGGTATTAAACTACCGTTTTGCTGCTACAGACGGTTGCAGGAAACGCCGGCTTCGCTCCATGGGACAGTTAATGATTTTGCATTAAGATAATAATGTGCGTAAAATTAATCTTACCTGAAACACATTTCCGAGTTGCCGAAAAATAAAACATTTTTTTATAGATGTGGAAATCGAAAAAAAAACGTAGGGAACGACATGATTCAGTGATTGCTAATCACAATTAGCACACCGACACGGAAGTCGACCCGATCGATACCTTGTTGCGTGAGTGCCTTCTTCGTCAGAGCGCATTCAATTGATTATCCAGGATATGTCCGGAGCATTATGTCCACAACAGAAAAAAAAAAAGCTCAGTACTACCTCAGACAAACGAGTCACTACGTTTTCAATATATGCGGTGACGTAGGCAGTCAAACAAGCCAATGCCGCATTTGGAAGTTAGCAGGAGAAGCAGACGACGCGCCGGCGACTGCTCATCGTTGCGCTTGTTTGCAGGTGGAGGCGCTGATTATCGCCCGATTGCGGCCCCTCCTAGACGTGTGATCTGTGGCTATGAAAGGCGCGCGTTCAGCGCTACGCTGCGTTCGCTACGCTCAACGTCGGAGTGTGACCGTGGGGACATGCGCGGGGAGTTCCGCGGGTTAATGACCCCCTCACATTAAACCCATTCCCGGTGACCAAAGATGCCCGAATGAGAGCCTGTTTACGTTTCGCGAGGGTCGTTTCCGGCCGGGTGATGTATCTGCGCGTCCGCACCTCCTAAGGGCTGTTTATAGTCCAACGTCGACGAACGCAACGCGCGCCGGCGCAGGCCGACGTTGGTCGGCCACTACACCGCGCTGAGAAGCGCCCGAACGATCGATCGCGGGTCGAGCCGCTCAGCGCGGCTTGCCTTTATAACTCCGTTCGCAGACAGCGTCAGCAAGCGTGAACGAGCTCGTTGTCGTTACGACGGAGTATAAACAGACCTTTAGTTTCTTAAAACGCAGGGTCACCGGGTTTGGCCGAATAAATACGGCCGAACGTACGGCAAAACGGTTTGGCCGAACGTACAGCAAAAAAAGAAAAGAAAAAGTGAATGTTTATTTGAGATGAACACCCGAAAAGAGATCCAGCAAATCCGAGCCTGAGAAACACCATCTGCGTCGGTCAGACTCTTCGCACCGTTTCTCTCCAGATTGAAAATGAAAGAGCAATTTTCTAAGATTACATTCTTTTTTTTCCGTGAAACCCAGACTCTTGAATTTCGAGTATAGCCATCTAAAGACATATTTGCGGAAAATTTCAATTCACTTCCTTTATCGCTTTATTTATAAGAAAGAAAAAAAAGAAAATTCATTTACGCCAGAAGAAAGTGCTCAAAAACTAAAAATAAAAAAATAAAAAAAGGTCGAGGCTTAGTGCGTTGTTTTATGGACCGACATCCTATCTGTTCTGAAACCATAAAATGTAAAACCAACATCAACTCTTATTTTTTTTTTTCTTGTCACCGGTACAATTTTGCACGCCGTACATCGTATCGTCCTAGTTCGCAGAAAAATAACACGGTAAGAACATCGCATATTCCTGGAATGGTCTAGATACCTTTCGTGGGCCCAAACTTTCAGATGGAAATTTCAACACTCCCTCTACTCGTCTTGTCGTTTTTTTTTCGTATTTTTTTAATGTTTAGTCATTTATTTATTGCTTACGCAATTTCAATCTTCGCAGATGAAAATGAGATACCGCACGTATGCATGCTCTTTCCGGAAAACAAAAGCACAATATACTCACACACACTTAGGGACCGACACACGTTTTGAGAGACCTCCTGCGCTCCAACGGCCGGGCTTTGGCTCATGTTTTATTCAGCTACTCGGACGAACTTTTAGCTCTCTTCTGTTTACGCGGAAAGGCGCAGAATTGTTTTGCGATGAAGTACCCATACGTATAAGCCACGACCGGGCTAGTCTCAAACAATCCGAGGAGGCACCCCTATCTCACTGTGTCGGTTGTTGGAATTGGCGAATTTTCTCACTATGCTCGTTGTCGAGTTAACAAAAAAAAAAAGAAAAAAAAAGAAACGATTTTTGCAAGTTGCTTCGAAGTAGTTCTCGCAAGAGTTGGCTGTCGAAGGAAGAAATGATGCCTTTGGTGGATAGGAGTGTACTAATAGATCTACAGGTCTTGAGGCCGCCTGCCTCATGGAACGTACGCAGACCACTTCTTCGTCTTCTGAAAAAGATCAACTTTCCACAAAGGGACGTTCTTTTGTCGTGAGCGAAGAAGGAGTTTCAATCAGCGCACCAAGTACATATTGGGCAGGGAGTTTTAAACACGGTGGTCAGGACTCGGAACAGTTGTTTAGGGTGGTTCTGGCAGAAATGAGACAGGTGGTGTGGTCGCTCCCTCACGTAACGAGCAAAGAAATAAAAAAATTAAATAGAAAAACTCATTTTTAAGCGAGAGAAAAGGACGCAAAGCCACCGTCACACTGCGCACATATATATACAACATAAGAATGCAAGTTGTTCAGTGCAGACATTATGACATAATTATCTGCGTACAGCCTCATGCATGTTCGAAGCTTGGTAGCTTCATATATGCGCATGCGTGGAACATGTCTTCGGATAAGTTATGTAAGATCAATGTGAAGGGACCGTCATACAAGGAGGAAACACGCCTAAGGGAATGTCTGCAAACTGCTCTTCGTATGATGTATGCATCGCTACGTTGACAATCTTTCGAGGATGAACGCGGAGAATACATGATTTTTTTTGTCTCGATATTATGGACAACTAACATTATAGACGCCTTTTAAAGAAATCGGAGGTGTCCATATAAAAAAAAAGGCATCACTGGATTTGGGCTTAAAGGGGTCCTGCAAAACGTTTCTAGCCATTTCATTGTAAATTTGTGTCGTGTTCGCTCGAATTGTAATGGGTCTCTATAGCAACACATTAAAAATTAAGTAAAGAAGGAATCTGATGTATTTTCAACATAATATGTGAAAGAATATAAAAATTTTTAGCACATTTTTTGTTTTTTGGTGACGTCTTAGGTCTGAGCTAATAGAGAATCATAACGACGACAGCGCGCGACAACGATGCACGATCTTCCTGATTCTTGGAATTAGCATCCAATTATGAAGATGTGACGCCCCACCGATTTACGGGCGTTCCAAGCAAAGAATCACGCCCTTGATGGTATCAAAAGGGGTTACATGCACCAATAGGGAGTATTCACTGGACGCCATATTTGTGGGTGCTGTTAAGAGCGCATGCTCAGAACGAGCTCACATCAACAGGCTGCTAAGACCGACACTCTTGATGGTGCGGAATGCACATTGTAAAAGTACTGCACAAGCTCGCCGCCAGCACGCGCTCAGCATTCGCTCACACAGTTATGGCCGCCAGTGAATACTCCCTATTCAGCCAGTCCTACCTCTAGAATTCTATGTCGTCATTATCCGACGTGCTAGTTAAATGTGGTCACTGAGCGCTCGTATTTGACACTGGCAGGCACGCACTTCGAGCAGAATTAGTTTTTTTTTCCGTCACTTTGCGGTGCCCCTTTAATGGATGCCGATGTCTAACACGAACTATAGTGCCAGTAAATAACCTAGGCTTCAACGTAACGACACTTGGCCATATTGTGGTTTGAAATCGTGGCTGTCAGTTATCTGAATCTTTATCTGAAATCATAGGTAACGCTTTTCCGCCCTCCACAAATGCTTAAACAGTTTGTGACTGAGCGAAGCCATATTACATGAGCTTCCTAACACCAAATCTTATGCTAAGGAAGTCGGACTTTTCATTCATGACGATCGGCACTTGCGACTTCTCTGCACAAACACCAAAATGGCGGCTCCCACAACAATGTCGGAGTACAGAGTTCCGATTCTCTAAGCGCATCTCATTTAGTGGCTGTAGCACAACCCTGCGTAAGCAGTTTTTTTTATTTTTATTTTTTTCACGGCCTGTCGGCCGAGCGTCGCTTACCTTGAAGATCTGCAGAGCTCGGGCCAGGGCTCCGACCTCTTCCTTGAGCGAGAAGATGACTGAGTTGGCACCCACGCGGTTGTTTTTCGGCTCCATGATGTAGCCTCCAGACACACGAGTCGGCTGGCAGAAAGAAATAAAGAGAGAACAGAAAGTAATTTTTAATATGCGTCGTCATCCAGCGGAAAAATTAGGGAGACGGAAATTGGGAAGGGGTCGCCTTGAGATCTCCCCAGCCATTGAAGTGTTTGCGGGAACAAGGGGGTATTGGCATTTACCGACAGTGATAAGGCGAGCGAAAGCTGCTACAACAAGACAGAAAAAAAAACCAGTTCCTTCGTTGCCGTTAATAATTTTAATATAAGTTCCCTTGTTGCAGTGGATGGAGTGTGTGGGATTACTGAGCGTGTGGTCGGTGGTCCGAACCCCGCCGAGAGACGCCATGATGTTATATTTTCGTTACCACATGTTTACGTCGTAAGATTAAGTCCGACACTAGTTGACGCGACAATCCGAAGCAGCCAATCAGGCAGCGCAAAAAGTGCATTGTCACGGCGCTCGTCGTTTTTGTGCGCTGGCGTCCGCGTTCGAACGCAGGTGTCCGGCGTTCGAACACCAAACCCTGCACGGGGAGCGGACGATCGAGGCTGTTGTTTGCGCTGATTGGAGGGAGTGAGCGGTTATAGAGGTAAAGGCAGGCAGCTATACTTTTTTCCCCTTAAAAGGGCACTCCGGCGTTCTCTTCATAGTCCTCGATTTGTCTCAAAAATGTGCTAAACACGCCAGCAAACATCGCTGAAATGGTAGCCCGAATATAGGGCCAAATAATTTTTTCGCGCTAACTTATTGAATTTAAAAGTTTAGTCGTCATCGCGTGTTTTCGTTTTTAATGAACGTTTTTATACTGGTTTTAATTAAAATGTAAGTGAGGTCACAAGAAGGCAGGCCGGGTTCACTCTTTAGAGTGTTGAACTTTGTTCCCAAAATGACTAAAATCAGTTCGATGGTGTCAAATGATTGCTTCGTAAGATTTCTCCGCCATTCGCGCAGCGGGACGAAATAAATGCTCGGAATAGTAACTTTTAGACTGCCCTTGCCCCACGTGAAAGCCTTCCTTCCCCTTGACGTCACGGCACTAAAAATAGGGGGTATACTTCAATGTTGGGTTTTGGCATCATTTTCACTCGCCGACTTCACAATAACTATTCTGAATTTTTCAACACTAAATAACTTAGCAGAAAGTGTAAAGGCCGGTGATTCCGAAAGTATACTTAGTTCAGGTAGATAAAAAAAAAGAAGAAAACTTTCGGCCTTTCCATTTTGGTGAAGAAGGAAGACCAGCGAACCTGTACTATGGTGGGAATAAAGTAATGTCCGTCCGCAAGTCGGCAAGCCAGAGTGGAAAGGCTGGAAAGGTTGCAGCCATCTATGAGCGACGGCGGCAACCAGACAACAGGCAAGCCTGTTGTCTGGTTGCCGCCATCGCTCATAGATGGCGGTAGCTGTTCAGAGTTTTTTGTCATCAGGTCATTTGAGGACGGACAGGATCATGGGGAAACTAGCCCTTAACAGGAGCTGTAGAAAGAAAAAAAAAATATTGCCGGAGCACTTCTTTAAGTTCAAACGCAGCCGACGCTATTTGAGCTGTTGCCGCAAATCAGACAGCGTCAAGAGTGAACCCACGTGGTGTTCGTCATGTTTCCCTAGGCGTTCTATCGTCGCTGAACCAATCATAAAAAACCGCACGGACTTGTGCTTTTGACGCTGCTTGATTGATCCCATTTGTTCGTTTAGGCTGAACTGAAGTACAGACTTTCTGTCTACCCACTATAAAAACAGGAGTCACGCCGCTCATTCTCCACACAAAAAAGACCCGCGGAGTTCTCTGCGGAGATGAACGAGAGAAATATCTGCGGACACTCCTCAGGCATTTTTGAAGCACGTGTTCGCTTCCTACGTTCGTGTGCTTGAAACGTGTCAGCACACAGTTCTTGTGTACCAATGTCACAGCAACATCATAGTCCAGAGAGATACACACTTCAGACAATGTCTTCGGACTTTCTTTTTTTTTTTTGCACGACGCCAGTGTGATTGTGGCTTAATCATTCCAGTCAGAGATTTTTGACGTCACCTCACGCTCTCGTCTTCTCAACCTTTTCTCCGTCCTTGTTGCTGTGGCAAGTTTCATTGAAGTCCCAAAAAGGAACCGACCTTTCGGTCCAGTTTTTTTTTTCTTTTGGTTTCATCTTTACGAAGGAAATTACACGAAATCGTAACAAATTAATGGCATTTCGACATCGTCCGTGTCTATACAGGACATTATCCGTTTCCCGGAGATTTGGGGTAATCTTTCGCGGTACCAGTTGTAAACATATCGGAAGAAGAGTCGTTAAACGAGAAAACTTGACGTGTTTACGAGCACACTTTTTTTTTTATAGCTTACTTTGGGGTACGGAGGAGCCCTACAGCCGTGCTCACACTACCAATACATCAAACAAACGACCGTCTGGAGAAAAGGTCTGGAGTCGTGTTCCTTTCTTCTACTTGCGGAAGTGTTCGAAGTGTGAACTACTTGCAAAAGTGTTCGAAGCGTACATACATATGCGTATGTACCAAATGAGGCAAACATCATTTGAACACACTGAAGGCGAGCCAACCGGTACTTGGTTCGATACCAGGACCATGGTTCAATACCAAGACACGACAAAGGCGGATTTTTAGCTTTTTCTTTTTTTAAATTTCGCTTAAGTCAAAAGTTGTGTTTGAAGATTTGTGTTCGTCCTTTTGTTCCCCTTCTCCGGGGATTATGATCGCTATTATTGTCCCGCTCGCGTGCACCTTTGCGTCAATTGCGTTAATACCGTACCTTCGGTGTGATGTATGAGCAGTCTGACTGTGGCGTATTTACATTACTTACAAAAAAAAAAAAAAAGGCACGGCTTGTAATTGGTTTGTTGCGTATTTATCAACAATCAGGTAGATCGCTAGCAACCCGTCGACTGGCTCAGCTGGTCCAAAAACTATCGCGTCGATCGCCATAACGGACCCTTACGATCCCCGAAATATATTTTTGTTTTCTTTGGTTCGAGGGTTAATTTGCAACAAGGATCTCGAGGGCCACGGGAACGCAATCAAATCAGTGAACTGCCTTCGCCGCTACGCTAGCAACGGGGTGAAAGCGGCATGCTCGTTGAACCAATCAGTACGTCAATCTCTCGTCACGTGATGGCGCTTCCGCCGCCCGTAGCCACGCGCAAAAAGCGGGATGGGGGAAAGAAATGGATTAGTTTGGCGAGGGCGTGACTCTCAGCTCACTCGCAGCTTTGGGATGAGCGGTGTTTACCTGACAGCGCATACTAGGGGCGAGGGACAATGGTGATAATTAGGACAACGTTGATGGAAAGAATCAAGTTAAATCCAATCCGCAAACTCGGACGGCGTTAATTGGCCTTTGTTTCAAATAAACACCGCGCAAGCGTAAAAAGGAACACGCGCAAAACCTCTTCTATAGGTTGTGCTACGTGATACAGAAAGGGAAACGTGTGTGCTTTGGGGAAGGTTTTCGCTTCCCAGTGTTAATTGCATTCAAAAAGTCAACAAAAGAAAAAGAAGAAAACCTGTAAAACAACAATAAATGCATCCAGATTTCTCGCAGTGTCTCACAAGTGAACTGCAAAGACAGCTGAGACGCTGCACACAGTTCCATTGCTTTTGCTTAAATTTAGCGGACTTAAGTCCCACTAAAATTTAGCTGACGGTGCTCATTTGACACTGGGACGTCACGTGACGCGTGGCACCTGAAATCACGTGACCATAAATTTCTCGCTAAATATAGCGAATAAATTTCCCTTCAAAATGACGTCTTGGGATATAGCGTCACGCGACAATGCGACATCACTGTGTCAGGACTCTGATTTTCCGCACAAATTTGGCGAAGAAATTGTGGCGCCATATCTGGCGGGCCAGACGACGTACGTACGCACAAGACAGACGCAAATTCAGATGCAAACCTCACAATTGACGACTATTGCCGTGAATGAAATGCCATGGCAAAGCTCAATGCAACATGGTTGAGGTACGTCGATTTCGACGGACATGATGGCTCGACAGTGAAGGGTTTTCAGACTTCTTGTTGCGCCCATCGTTAAATAACGTGGGTTGCCGATATGCGAATCTACGTATGTAATTCGCGAGCCAAGGATTTCCAATTTAGAGTATTGTTTCGAGAATGACGTAAGTTTCCCTCTTGATTAAAGTTTCTAAATCTACGCTATTTCTTGCAAAGACTTTAATCGAAGTTTTTGCTACAGCACGTGTATATCTGCAAACCTACTTCTTCAAGACGAAGACCACGAAATCAAACCCGCTTTGCGAATAATAGATGCACGTTTCCAGAATGTTTAAGAATTCTCAATGTAGAGTTTCGATGTGAATGTTCGCACCTTGACAAAGAATACTGAACACCCAACATTCTCATGAAAGGGGGCTCGAGCAATCTTTCGTTACGCATGCTTATGTCAAGAATAACATAATTGCACATCACTTTGAGTATGTGACAGTTTTCTTCTTACAACAAAGCTTTGTATGACCTACAGGTCGGATTGCGGATGTGTCGTCGTCCTCACGGGAAAACAACCTTCAGCAATTGAAGCGAGAAGTGCATATCACGCATACAACATACAGCACTGTCAATTCAATAAAGACCAAGCACAAAACAAACATTCGAACCAGATGGTTGATTATAAGGCACTCCGATAACATGCAAAGCACGCAGCGCTCACCGGATACGCTTCGCGGTAAAGATTACTGTTGCCCAAGCTGCCGAGGCGATGGCAGCTTGCGACGTGGCAAGTGACGTCACTAGCCTTTCATATTTAAAAAGTTTTGGTCAAATTTAATAAAATACTCAAATACTTGAGAAAATAACCGTAACTTCGCTGATAATTTAGGACTTCCAAAACGACAGTTTTTTTTTTTTTTTTTGCCGGTTCGAAAACGTATTTTTCGTACTGTCTAATTATGGGGCGAAAATCACTGAATTATCCACCACGTATCTTAATTCACGCAATTAATTTAACTAATTCATAACGCAATGAATTCACCAATTTTGGTAACCCATTCTC